ACGATGTTCTTCCAAAAGAAGTATTGAACATTTCGGGCTGTGATCGTCACGAGGGGTTCAACTTCTACCCACTTGGTAAAATAGTCCACTGCTACTACTAAGAACTTCCTTCCACCCGTTGCTGGCGGGAATGGCCCGAGTAGATCGATGCCCCACTATGCAAAGGGCCACGGGTGGTGAGATACTTGAGGTCGGCAGTAGGTTGGTGGTGAATATTGGCATGTCTTTGGCATTTGTCACATTTTCTAACGAGCTCAATAGCGCCAGCCTTCATTATTGGCCAATAATACCCTTGTCGAAGTGCTTTTTGGGCGAGGGCCCTGCCCCCCAAGTGCCCACCGCACAGACCCTCGTGGGTGTCGCGGAGTACGAGCTTGGCTTCGGTAGGTCACAAGCAACGCAAGTAGGGGAGTGTGTAAGATCTCCAGTATAGTTGTTCGTCTATCATGACATATTTGGTTGCCTGGCGCTGCACCCTTCTAGCTGCATTGCGGTCTGCAGGGAGCGTCCCGTGTAGTAAGAAGCTCGCAAGCGGGTCAATCCAGCTCGGCTCTGCTTGAACGACGGGAGCAACCTCCTTTGCCCCCCTAAGAATGCTAGGCCAAGACAGGTCCTCTATGTACACGGTTCTCATGGTGATGTCGTTGGTGCTGGCTAACCTGGACAGGGCATCGGCCTCAACGTTTTCTGACCTAGGGATTTGTTTGATAAAGTGTGTCTGGAAGTCGAGCAGGGCCTCTCTAACCTTGGTCAAGTAGGCAATCATGGTTGGCTCGCGAAACTCATACTCGCCGGTGACCTAGTTAACCACAAGCTAGGAGTCGATGCAGATAACAATGTGCCTTGCTTTTACTTCTCTGGCTAAGGCTAGTCCAGCTATCAATGCCTCGTACTCTGCTTCATTGTTAGATGCCGCGAACTCGAAGCGTAGCGCGTATTCCAGTTTCGTGTCGCTTGGGCTGTGTAGAACTATTCCGGCTCCGCTGCCCTGTTGGTTCAAGGAGCCATCTACGTGAAGGATCCAGGGCTCCTCATCCCAGCTCACAATTGGCCGAGCTAGAAGAGATGCCACACTGGCTGCTGCTTTACGGGGTTCGGACTCGATTGGCCTGAGAGCTTCGGGCTTATCCGAGCTAGGAGCCTCGTGCTCAACCGGCCTGGGAACTATGGAGCTGAATGTACATTCGGCTATAAAAGCTACTAAGGCTTGGGCCTTAATGGCAGTTCGCGGCTTGTACTGGAGGTCGTACTCGCTAGGCTCAACGGCCCACTTCGTCAACCGACCAAAGACCTCGGGTTTGAGCAACACTTGCCTCAGAGGTCTGTCGGTGAGGACGACAATAGTATGAGCTTGGAAGTATGGGCGGAGCTTCCGAGCTACGGTTATCAGTGCGTATGCTAGCTTTTCCATCTCCGGGTATCTCGTTTCTGCTCCCTGCAATACTTTACTCACATAATAGATGGTTTGTTGGACCCGATCTACTTCTTTTATTAGTACCGAACTGACCACTTCGTCGCTCGCCGAGAGGTACAGTTCTAAAACATTCCCCTCATCGGGCGGGGTTAAGGTCGACACACTAGTGAGGTATTTCTTGAGCTCGTCGAACGCGAGCTGGAAGTCTTGGGTCCACTCGAACCCTTTGCTCTTAAATGCCTTAAAGAACGGTAGACAGCGATCCGCCGATTTAGACATGAAGCGGCTCAGGGAGGCTATGCGGCCATTCAACCTCCGAACCTCCTTCAACTTCCGGGGCGATTTCATATCTAAAATGGCTTTAATTTTATCCGGGTTGCATCGATGCCGCGCCAGTTAACGATGTATCCTAGGAACTTGCCCGAGGTCACACCGAACACACACTTGTTTGGGTTCAATCTCATATTAAACTTACGCAAAATTTCAAAAACAAAATGCAAAACTTGTAGAAATTCATGTGAGAATTGAGTTTTTACGACCATGTCGTCTACATAGCATTCTACTTTTCTGCCGATTAATGGTGCAAAAAACTTATTTACAAGCCTTTGAAAGGTTTCCCCTGTGTTTTTCAACCCGAAGGGCATAACCTTGTAATAGTATAGGCCGAATTCCTTGATGAAGGCAGTCTTTTCTTCGTCCGTCGGGTCCATCTTGATCTGGTTATAGCCCGAATAGGCGTCCAAGAAACATAGCAACTCGTGCCCTGAGGTCGCGTCAACCAATCGGTCAATTCTGGGGAGCAGGAAGCAGTCTTTTGGGCAAGCCCAGTTCAGGTCAGTGTAGTCGACGCACATGTGCCACTTGCCGTTGGCCTTCTTTACCAGGACAGGGTTGGCTACCCAACTCGGGTAGTGGACTTCTCATATGAAGTCAGCTGCGAGGAGCTTTTCGACCTCCTCGTCGACCTCTTTCCACCGCTCTGGGGCTAGGTTGCGTTTCTTCTGTCTAACGAGCCTAACTACAAGATCAGTGTTCAGCTTGTGAGTTATGAGTTCGGGGTCTATATCGGGCATCTCTGCCGCATACCAAGCAAAAATATCTAAATTTTGAAGAAACTTACAAGTTCTGATCGTAAAGGTCCCTGGACGAAAGCGCCGATTTGAAGCGTTCGAGCTGGGTCCACTGCTGAGGTTGAAACTGCGACTGCTTCTTCTATTGGCGCGACTCGTTCTTCGCCTTGCTCCATAGGCCGCTCCACCTCGAGGTCATCGGCTACCTTGGTTGTTCCCTTCAAGGCGGCGACGTAGCACTTACGGGACTCGAGCTGGTCGCCCCGCGCTACTCCTACACCGAAGTCGGTTGGGAACTTCATAGTCAAATGGTAAGTGGAGACCACCGCCCGTAGGACATGGGTGATCGGTCGACCTACTATGGCATTGTAGGGGGAGGGGGTCGCGACCACCAAGAAGTCGTGCTTGAATCTGACCACACAAGGCCACGTGCCGACTTCCACAGGTACTGTTATTTTCCAAAGGGGGCGGACTTCTTCTCCGCTGAAACCTACCAAAGGAGTGTCTGCGGGCTTCAGGTCGCTTCTCTGCAACTGGAGCTGGTCAAACGTAGCTTTGAAGAGGATGTCAGCTGAGCTGCCTGAGTCGACGAGTACATGCCTAACCTCAAAGTCATTGATTCTTAGCTTTAGTACGAGCGCGCCATCGTGGGGGTAATGGACTCCTCCCGGGTGGCTTCATGAACCGAAGTCCGAGCTGCTGTTGAAGTGCAACCCGCGATGATAGAACCTTCTACTATCATGTGGATGGTTCCCCGGACTGGCCTCTCCTCCGGAGGCTGCCTCTGCGGTTGTTCAGCCGGCCTGCTGCTGGACTCGGGAGCATCCTTACCGCGCTCCCCTTGCCGACCTGTTTTATTGCTATTATTATTATTTTGTACAAAGTTTCTTAGACCGTAATCTTTGTGAGCATCCTTACCACGCTCCTCTATCTCATCACGGAGGTTTTTACAACTCTTGGTACTGTGACCGTGATCTTTGTGAAAGCTGCAAT